ACGGGCGTATTAATTCTGCACGGGCAGTGTAACACGGACGTGTTAATTACAAACACGGTCGTGTTAGGTTCAACACGGGCCGTGTTAATTCTCTTAGAAAATGTTGTTTTTCTCAGACATTTGACACGGACCGTGTTAAGGTGCAACACGGACCGTGTCAAATCTCTGAGATAGTGTTAATTTTGCACAGACAATTGACACGGACCGTGTCAGATTCGACACGGCCGTGTTAAATGTCTGTAATATAGGGCTGGGCACGGGTAGGGTACCCGAGTTTTTGAGGGTACCCGTACTCGTACCCGTATGGTTCATGTAATAGATTTTGCTACCTGGTTTTGGTTTTATATAAAACAGGTACCTGTAATTTATATAGATAAAGTACTCACAAGTACCCGCAAGTACCCGAGATACTGAACAAGTATTGAACATCTCGTAAAATGTTTATCCAAAACCTGTATGTTTTTACACATTCAAAAAGAATACAAGCATTGCAAAATACAACTAAATAATTAGAAGGAACATAATTAAATCCTGGAGACTAACTTCTTTCACAAAAAAAATATTAAACATCATTATCATTCCACCTACTCAGATGAAATGCTCCACAAAAAGTTTGGAGTCTTGCAATGCCTGTGAAAAGAAAAAGGTATTAGATGAAATGCCTCTGAATCAATAAAACAAAGTTAGAACATCATCAAATGAAATACCACGTTTGTGATACAAAAAAAGGATCGAGCCTTGCAATGCGTGAGACAAAAAAAATGTTGGATCCTTGAAATGTTGAGAAACAAAAAAAAATTAGAAACCAATGTTTGCAAAACATAAAAACAAAACAGAAACGCAAAATATATAAAATATATAGTTAAACCTTTCATTCGGAAGAATATCCTTTTTCAGCCCAAGCTAAAACTCCATTAGCCATCGAAGATGAATGTGAAATTTCTACGAAATAAAATTTATTTGTTAGTTCAAACATGTAAAAGTAAAATATTGATAAATATACTAGAATGTATAAATCATACCTTCTTCCAAATTTTCGATTTCTTCCAATGATTCTTCAAGTGTTACCGGTCCATAATCTTGTCGGATCCAATCTTGAGTACAAATGAGAGCTTCGACAAGTTGCGGAGTTAACGAACTACGAAATGGATCTATAACTCGACCACCCGTACTAAAAGCGGATTCGGATGCAACGGTCGATACCGGTATAGCTAAAACATCTTTTGCCATTTGAGAAAGAATAGAATATTTGGCCCCGGTTACTTTCCACCAATATAGAATATCAAAGTTTTGGTCTGATCCTTTCTCACGTTTATCTGACAAATAACATTTCAACTCATTTTTTAGTACTATCTCTCCTTCACTTTTTTTAAATGCTTCAAACCTTGAATCCATATATTCATTGTTGATCACCGTCTTCGACTTAGTATTCCCAACCGTAGCAACACTTGATTCTGTTAGACAACTTGATTCTACATTGTTAGATTGAAAAGATTCATAATACTTGAATAACTTCTCCAAAGCATCCTTTAACTTCACAACCACTTCCTCAGCTTTAACGGGATCATCATAACTTTCACGAATCATCCAATTCACATAAGACAATTTATATCGGGGATCAAGAACACGTGCCACATAAATAGCCATGTTAACATTATCCGAATGCCAATATTTATCAAACTTTTTCTTCATTCTCTCGGCCATAGACTTCAAACTTGGATCATCACTACTCATCATTTCTTTTATCTTCCACCCTGCACCAAATATCTCTTTCATGTACTCATTTCCGGTAACATATCGTGATCCAGATACTTTCAAAGTTGACTCATAAAAACACTCCAAGATTGGAACCAAAGATTGTGCATATGACCAATCATCAGCACTTGGTGGACCTGATCCAAGTTTTGTAAGGTCTTCAACATATCTTTCATCTTCTGATTCCAACATATCAAACCCTTTTTTAAGTTTCAAAGCTGCAGTTAACATCAAGTAAGTAGAATTCCATCTAGTTTCTACATCTAAACAAAGTCCAGCTTTCGTACACAACTTTTTATGCTTCAAACATTCCTTAAACTTTTGAGCTCTGCTTGTCGAAGACCGTACATAACGAATAGCCGCACGAATTCGGGAAATTGATTCATGCATATCCTTCAACCCATCTTTGACAACCAATCCTAAAATGTGAGCACCACATCTCATGTAAAAATTCGCCATCCAAAATACTTGTTCCCCACGATTTAAACTTTCTTTTCAAGTATCGTATTCCAACATCATTCGATGTAGCATTATCAACTGTGACAGTGAAAACTCTATTGATTCCCCAAAGAAGCAAACATCTTTCCAACAACTTTCCAATTGTCTCACCCGCATGATTATGTATCGGACAAAAGCTGATAATCTTTTTATGCAACTTCCAATCACCATCAATAAAGTGGACAGTCAAACACATGTAGCTTATATTCTGAACGGATGTCCAAGTATCCGTTGTAAAAGAAACACTCCCTTTGTGTTTCTTAAAAAACTGAAACAACTTATACTTTTCCTCCAGAAACAAACCCATGCAGTCTCTAGTTATTGTCCTCCGTGATGGAATAAGAAAACGAGGTTGCACAATTCTCATAAAATATATAAACCCCTCTCTTTCAACAAATCGAAATGGCAGCTCATCTAATATCATCATTTTCACCAAAGCTTTTCGCGATTCATCTTGATCAAATACTGTAAATGATGGAACACCTCTTGTGGAATCAGATTTTATCTGATGATGCAAAGTTGTTTGCTTTAGTTTCTTACTAGCATCCTGATCATCACCATCATCCTCACGGGGTCTTTCTTACATGTTTTTAAATGTTTTAACATGGAACTGGTGGAGGTTCCAACGGAGGTAAGACAACCAATTGATGATCCACAGTAGTTACATATAGCCCTTTTCAAGTCTGTTGCTCTTTTAAAATGATTCGAAGCTTCAGATTTAGTTTTGGGTACCTTTTTTCCTTGAGAAACATCCATATCTGTCCGTGCATCTTTGTTTGGTGGATCATTCTTCAATGCTAACTCTTCTTCTGTGTTCCCATCCATCTTGAATATCTAAGAGACAAATAAAAACAAAATAGTTCAGATTTTTTGTAAATTGAAATATAAAAAAACAAATAACTATGAATAAGACTAAGAAGAAGATTCGAAGAATACGTAACAAGAAGAAAAAGACAAAACAATTCAGATTTTTTTTTGTGAATTGAAATATAAAATAATAAACATATATGACGTAGACCATAAAGTAGACCAAGAAAAAGAACGCGTAACAAGAATAAGAAGAGGAAGAAGAAAACATAGACATCTTTGATACCCAAAAAGCATGGTTTGTTTCAATTTAAAACCCTAACTAAAAGACACCACCAATCATAGAAGAAATTGTGCGATAGAAAAAATCCAACTAAAAAAACTTCAAATCAAAACCCTAATCTCAAATCCCTAATCAATGAAAGAAATGAAATCACAAAGAGTAAAACCATTGTTTAAAATGGAGATTGAACCAGTAGAAGATGAAAACTCCAAGCAAAAGGGAGTGGAGAGGAGGAGCTGGAGAGGAGGAGCTCAAGAGATTCTATGGAGGAAACTTTCGAGAGAAGCTGGAGATTTACAGTAGAAAAATTGGTAAAGTTAAAACTATAAATATTTATTAACGTTACTTTAACCTAATGGTATAAATGTAATTTAATATAAATATAAGGCTAAAATAGTAATTTTGAATAGTACACAGGTACCCGAGGGTACCCGTTTAAGAAAGAAAAATACTCGTACCCGAACCCGTCTTCGCAAGTATTTTATCTCAAATACCTGTTTTGGTTTTATAATCTATAGGGTATTTGATTTTCGGGTATATGTGAAGACAGGTACCTGCAGGTACCCGAAATTCGGGTACCTTTGCCCACCCCTACTGTAATATGAACAAATGCGGCCTTTCGCATGAAAACTACTAAATGGATACAACTTTTGATCATGTCTCTGGTGTTTTTTAAAGCCAAGAACATCAGAGAATGTTGATATACGAAATCTAATTTGGTTTTGAGAGATTTGTGAGCCTTTTTGGTGAAGAAACTTGCTACTTCTTCTCCATCTTTTACTGTTCATCTTCTTTCTCAGGTTTTTCTGTTTTGGGCAACGTTTGAGGAGCAAATCGACCGTTGCTGATCTTCTTTGTATCTCTAAATGTATTCTCGGGTTTCTCCTTTACTCGGTAGGGGAGGGAATAACGTTTTAGGAAAGCGTTCTACGCACCTAGAAGATTATATCCGGGTTGTTTCATCTTTATTTCGATTTCACTGTTTTATTGTTCTTTCCCGCTGTATTCATAGTTACTCTAACAAAAAGTTGATCGGTTCAGGAGAAATTTGACATGAGGAAGAATCGAACCTAAGACAGACTTCCCCCAACCGAATACATTTAACTAGCGTCTAATGCTAAATATTATTTATATTATCTATACAATTTGTATATAAAAATTCAACTAACCAAAACACATCAAACTAAATATATCTACATAAAACTTTAATTAAAAACAATAGATAAGTGGGATACAATCTCAAAATCCCCAGATTTTTATTTATTAACATTGCATACCGTTAAAATCATATAATAAAATTACGCATATGGAAAAAAAATTGATCATATTTTAATCAAGCACACAGAAAAATAAAATAAATCAAATCATGAAAGAATAGACAAGGGTCGGTCAGACGTCGCCGTTTGAGGGGCAACGAGAAAGCAGCCAATGCGTCGATCCAACGCACCGTCCCATTTCTATTTTTCCTTTTTATTTATTTATTTTTTGTAAATTCTCATTAATAATTATTCATTTATTATGTGTATATTTATTCGTGAGTTCTCTTGATCTCATCTCCTTCTCATCTCTGTTTACATTCTCTGTTCTCTGTCGCTTAAGGCAATGTCCTTCAGAGGTTTCAGCCGGGTAAGATCTCTCTCTCTCTCTCTCTCTCTCTGAGAGAGCGTTTCCAAGTAGAAAGATTCAAGATTTCAGGGGATTACCAGGAATAATTCATGCCCAAGTGTGAAAGATTTGTTTTTTTGCAGCCAAATGCGGCATCTGGAATGGGAGTTTCGGATCAAAGCAAGAGCACGTACATGGAGCTGCAGAGGAAAAAGGGTCATCGTTACATAGTCTTCAAGATCGACGAGAACAAGAAAGAGGTGATGGTGGAGAAGACCGGTGCAGCTTCCGAGAGCTTCGATGATTTCGTCGGGTCTCTGCCCGAGAACGATTGCAGATACGCTGTTTACGACTTCGATTTCGTTACATCTGAGAACTGCCAGAAGAGCAAGATCTTCTTCATCGCCTGGTTCGTTCTATGATTCTGTCTGGTTTATGCCAATGCCTGAGTTGATCTGTGTATTACCTGATTTTGAGCCCTTGAATTGTTGTGAAAATGCATAAAACCATTAAATCTTTTGGTTTTGTATCCCAAATTACAAAAAAAAACGCAAGATAATTTGATATATTACCCGCTTGATTGCAACCTATAATCTATCCTTGTCATCCAAGAAACTGGGTGTAACAAGAAACTGGCGTGATTCTCTATTGCTTTCTTGAAATGTTAGCTTGATGTTCATTGAAGATATGGAATCTGTTCCTGCTAATTCTACAAAAAAAAAAGGACTTTTTGTTTACTACTGGACCACGCCATGGTTAGGGTTTGGTCTGCATTTAACAGTGTTCCGAGCTCTTGTGAACTACTAATCATGTTCTTGTCTTAAAGGTCGCCTTCGACTTCGAGAATCCGAGCAAAGATGCTTTACGCAACGTCCAAAGACAGATTCAGAAGAGAATTGGAAGGCATCCACTACGAGATTCAAGCCACCGACCCTTCAGAGGTTGACCTCGAAGCTCTCCGCGAACGAGCAAACTGATGATCATCATCCCCTTCAACTTCTTTGTATTCTCCGTATTGGTAGTGATTGTGTAACGTGCTGTGTTGCTGCAATAATGCTTTGGTACGATGAGAAGCCCAATGTGGCGACATATATCAAGGTGAAGGAAGGCTACTGTGTTGTTATTTTTTCTGATTCCGAATGAAATCGTCTATATGCTTATATTGTGATTATTATGGAATTGTTGCTGCTCTGCTGTACCTTCCTTTGAATCCATTTCAATGCCTTTTCCGCCCTTTGGAGTGAATCCTTTTGTTTCCACGATTTTACACAGAAGTTCGACTTCTCTTGTCCAATTATGTCGATCTTCGTGATAGATAGAAGAAGTGCGGTTTTGACGTCAAGAATGATTGTAAATCACATTCGTACAAAAAAAATTGTTTCCAAATGAGTAAGAGTGGTAAATATCAAAATTTCATATGAAGTTTCGGCTTTTGCAAAAAAATTCCTCTGAATCATTAATTTTTGAAGATTTTTTGAGATTTGGGTTTGAATTTTTGCAGAGTTACACTCTACAAATTTTAGAAAGAAATTCAAACAATGAGTACATAAGAGAGAGAGAGATATAGAACATAAAGATAAGGAGGAAGAAAAAAACCCATCAACCTTGTCACCTAGATATTATCTATGCGAAAATTGAAAATTGCAAATGCAATTTTACAGTTGTTGTTGTAGTTATAGTCGCTTTCACGAGACATCTTTTCGAAAGACTTATCTTTTTTTTAATATAGAAATTCAGCCTTTGACTCAACTATATCTTCCACGATATCGGAAAAGTCCATATGAATATTTTTATCCAAGTAGAGATTCAAACTTGGATTTAAAAAAAGATTTGATCAATACTTATCAGTTGAAATCATAGATGAGAATAAAAATATTTTCTTCAAATACTCCCATATTTCTATGGAGATATTAAAAGCCTAAAATATATCAAATCTTCAAATAAAAATACTTTCTTATGTATTTTTAGATAGTATATTTCTATATCTGTACCAAAATTTTAAGGAATTAGTATATTTATATATAAAAAAGGAATTTATATATTTATTCAAGATTTTATGATAACTTTATATATGATCTTTTACTTTGTATGTGGAAATTTTTTAGTCTCATTAATTATGGAATCCATATTAGCATGATTTGTTTCTCACATCATAATGTTTTTGCATACATTTATAGATATACTTGTATCAGTTTACTATAAACAATGAGAGGAGTGAACTCTTCGAGCTGTTAGTTACCAAATGGGAAAACTGGCGGCAACCAACGTTTAACACTTGACCCGATCCGACGTGGCAATATGGGCTCCATCTCCACGTAGGTTTCCCGGCCCAACAATGCCCTTATATTATTATTAATTATTCAGTTAATTAAAAATCTCTTATTTTATAGTCTCCGCTGTTCCCAACTTTTTTTTTCTAGCCGTTGCCGTGCGCTCTCCCTCTCTCTCTCCCTTTCTAAATCTCTCTCCGATTCTCTTCCTCATCTCTACAGCGTCTCTCTACCATGAGTTCGTCGGAATTTGTATCGGAGACGCCGGAGTTAGGGTCGGAGAAGCCGGTAAAGGAACCTAAGTCGTCGAATTTGGATTTGGTGTTGTCTACTAAAACCCCAGACAAGCCGGCGAGTCTTCTCGGCCGGTCTCGGAACAGCGACGTCTCCGTTTCTCTACGATATGTCCGACGGCCGGCGGATACTGGGCTACGGTTATATAAAGATCGGACCGGGCAGATCAAATCCGCCAAGAGGCAGATCTTGTCTTCGCCTCGTAAGTCTGAGGGTTCCGTGAAATTGCCCGAAAGGTGAGATTGATGTTTCGGGTGTTGTTCTCTGATTCTGGTTTGGGTTTAGTTTCAGTGTTGATTTTCTTGTTTTTGACGTATTGTTATTTCAGGTTTGAGATTTTGGGTGATTTTTTCAACGGATTGGACACCTCGATTCGGTTGCTGAAATTGAGGGGATGTTTGACGACCTTCACCAACATTTCACCCAAAATCGAGTGCCTAACTAATCGGTAATGGGTTCGAAAATGATCTATTTTCAGTTGGTACTTTCTTGGTAATATAGTATTTGAGTAAGTGTACTTGGAGTGATCTCAAGCAATGTTGTGTTATGTCGGTTAAATCTCTGAAGTTGAGTTCTTGAACCTACGAGTGAATTGGCTTTGTCTTCGTTTTGATTGTTTCAGGAGAATCTTGTATGCCCATTTGGCTCAAATGAAGCATATTTTTCCTGAAGCTATTCAGATAAAGAGGGTTCTGAAGTATGATGAGGGTACTTGTTGTACGAATCCTGATCTTCATATTACACTAAACACCGATGCAATCCCGTATGATGAATCAAAGCATGAAAGCAAGAACATGGCACTTAGAAATATGTTCCGGAAACGGCTTTCAGACTTTTTCAGAGCTCATCCTAAGGTGCATCTCTTGACGGCACAAATTCTTTCTTACATATTTAGAGTAGTCACTTCTGATGTTTTGTCTGTGGCTTCTGCTTTGTGATTTTCGGGATTCTCATTCTTCTGTTTTCCTGTACAAAGGGTGAAATTCCAGAAGAAATGCTCCCCGAACCATTCAATCCTTCGAAAACATCGAGAGTTCAAAGTTTGAACATTCCCGAGAACTCAGTTGAGCAAGATCATCATGGCTTGTCTGTTGTAGCAGCAACTTCTACCAATGCAGCTGAGTTTTTGGCAGCACCAACCTGCACTGAATCAACCATACTTGCTACTCCAACCAAAGATTCATCTGTTTCCTCCAAAGACATGGCCTCAACACCGGTTCAACATGCTTCCACCCCAGCCCGTCTCATGAGTGCTACACCGGCTCTTCAGCCATCCAAAAGATGTATAATGTTGAGTCCGGATGATGACTCAATCGGGTCACCAAAAAAGCTGGTTAGGCGTCCATCTCGTACTAGATCACTGAGATTTGAGGAGGATGGAAAAGCTGATGATGAAGATACCAATGGTGAGAAATTTGGTGTTAATGAAAGGAAATCCTGTGACAAAGAGACTGATGAAGAGGCGGAAGAAGAGGTCGATGAGAAAATCAATGAAGCATTAAACGTAATGTCTGATGCATCTAATGACAATGATGAGGATGATGACCTTGTAGGCTTACTTCCCGAGAGTCTTCTCCAGTCGGTAATTTATGTGTTCATGTCTTCCCCTATTAATTCTTTGATGCATCTATCTAAGTCATCCAAGCATAAAATTATGGAAAGAACTTCGTTTTTGGGCTCTTTTAGAGGTAACTTTTCCGAAAAAGCAACTTGATAGCCGGTGAATTTTGTCTTTGGCTTCGGATGAAAGTTTTTAGAGCTTTTCTTAAAAGAATTTGTTTTAGTGAGAAAGAGAAGTTGCATGATTTTACAAGGTAGAGATCCAAACCAAATGACATTTTGCAAAGCTAAAATTTTCTCTTGAAACTGCTTTCACAAGAAGATTGATGTTTCATACCTTGCATATTTCCGAAAAGATATATTCTTTTAACAGTTTAGTAAAGTAAAAATTCTCACCATGTCTGGTCTTATGTCAGATAAAAGAGAGAGAGAAGGCGGCAGCCAAGGAACGAGATCCAGCAATCTCATTAGCGAAGCGGAGAAGGCGGATTATCGCTGGACTACCGAAGCTCTTTAATCTCATTCACTTCTTGTTTCAGTCGACGAGGCGTACAACCATAACGAAAGAGGAGCTTTTATACAAGATTATTGCGGGCCAAATCAATACAACAGATAAAAGTAAAAACCTATGCTATTTATGGAGGCATTTGATAGTCTTTTTCTCTCCTCTTTTCACATGCTTATGATTTTCTTATGTGTGTGTCCTCAGAAGAGGTAGAGGAACAATTAAGTGTGATGCTTGAACTTGTCCCCGAATGGATCTCCGAAACCAAAGCATCTTCCGGGGATTTGCTTGTTCGGTGAGTAGTCTCTCTTCTATGCCTTAAATCTACCCACAATATGATTGCGCATGCTTCATGGGTGTGAGTTTCTCCAAAGCCGATAATTTTAGCTTCTTTGTTTCACAGGTGTGAGTTTCTCTAAAGCCGATAAGTTTAGCTTCTTTGTTTTTGAAGATATTCTAGATTCTTCAGATTGTGAATCAGGATTTTGTGTTATTTCTGCAGTATCAATAAGATGTCGGAAGCTGAAGTCATACGTGCACGACTCGGAGAAGCAACTATGCCAAAGATTTCTACAGATTCTTGAGGTTAATAACTTAAGATCTCTCTATAGTTCATAATTTGTCTATGGTTAATTAGCTAACTATATGTAATAATACACACATATGAGGCTTCTTTCGCCGGTTTTATCAATGATGTTTGAATCTATCAATTTGTCTCATGGATATAATACACAAGTGAAAGTTCCATAGTTTCCAACTCTCTCGTTCTCATCCTTTCTGAGTTTTGTTTTTCGTCGTGGATTCGTCCCTTTTGAGAGTTAGGCAAGTAATTTTCCGATGTGTATAGATTCTTCGGGTTTAGCAATTAGATTCTTCGAAACATTTCGAAAACAAGCAGTGAACCTTCTCCATATCTTCTGCTTAGTTGTGCAGAAGTATGTTTCACCAGCAAGTTCATGTCTTCTAAGGTCTTGTCTCTGCTTTTAGTCTCTTCAGTTTTGAGCTTTTTCTCATCGTCGCCACTGATGAAACCCTAACACCATTTTCCTGCTCGTTCAATGCCCGAAAACTTTCGTGTTCCGAGCATTTTCAGCGGGTCAGATCAACGATATTTCATTATAAAGAAGCGAATCGGGTTTCGCTAAAAACTCAAGTGAAGAGGAATGAGATTCATTGCCTTTACTAGACATAGATACATCTAAGGGTAGTAATACGTATAGAAACAAACAACGGCTGAGGTTTTCAGTTTATGGCAAATGTCTATTCTTTTCATCTAAGTTGAATGATCAAAGCAGGAGAACGTTGTCAAGTGAAGCCTCCTTTGAGAGCTTTTGCTGATCTCTGAATAGCTCTCGCCACTCTCCATATCTCGTGCTGTATCGCCTCTGTCTCCGTGTCTCGGTCTCGTTGTCTCGAAGCCATGGCGATGGCGTCCGCTATTCCCGGGAAGAAACCCAGCTTGCTCTCAGGGTCAGATGATGGTCCGTACACAAGATGCTTGAACCACTCGTTTCCCGTGATACCGTCTTCATCCAAGAAACCTCTTTCCGCAAGCATCAACTTATCGTTCAATTGTCTTATCGCCGATGACGCAACTTCAGCCTCGCTATATGATCGTCCCTTCATTTTCTGCGCATCGATGAGCGTATAAGGATGCGAAAACGAGTGGTTTAAACTTAATTTTTAGCAAAATTTATCAAACCTCTGCTTCGTCCTTGACTTGTTTAGCGACGGTGCAAAATTCTCGTATCGAGTCGGTTAATGGATTGACGGAGTTTATCCTATCTAACAGTTTGCTCAAAGCATCCCTATGCGACTGCACCAAGCCACGAATGAAAAATCTCGATTTCGTCTCATTTTTTCACTGATACAAAAGAGCGAGAAGAAGCAAACCTTTAATTGATCTGCGTAGGATATGTAATCGAACGGTATGAGCGGCTCGTCGGCTATGATAAGCCCTAAAAGTCCCCAAATTCCGGCCACTGAGACAGAGAATCGAAACAAATGTGTCACAAAAGCAGCCCATAGCAAAAGAAAGCTATCCAAAAGTAGGTCGACGAGTGGGGAAGAAAACTAACTGGCGACATGACGATGGAACAATGGATCCACATGGTGAACCATCCAATCGTAGGAGTCGAAGGCCGTGTGATAGACGGGAAAGTCTGAGAAAACCGAAACAATATCACATCAATACCCTGCTTGCATTAAGAGAAAGAGAAAAAAAATATTTCCACAATGGATTTTGGGGACAGAATCCGAAAAATCACATGATTCGACGTACCTTCTCCATAGTACATGTCGATCGATGGGATCCCTGCATGATGCAGAAAGGGCGCGAAATCAGAATCCACTCTTCCGAGCCTTTGAATCTGCGATCCATCAAAACATATAACCATAAAATACGTATAGTTCTCGTCAAAACGATGTAGGTAGTGAACTCTTGACTCACAACATTGTTTCTGGCCATCCAAGACTCGTACATTGTCATGCCTTCCGAATCAGGGTCCTGAACCTGAAACACACAAATCAAGAACCACGAGAACGAATTTCGAAATGTTCACATTTTTTTTGGAAAGACAGATGAATTTTTCCGCTCGTTGGTTATATTATTTACCTGCTTCAAGACGTCTACAAGAACACTGTCTAACTGAGGAGTCGAGCCAGCAAAAAACCCGGAGCCTTGGACCGCGCAATCTACGTTAAGATAGGCCACGGCATTTGCACGCAAGTTCAGGAGGTTTTCTTCGACCCATTCGGTAGATCCAATCTGAATAAACGAAGAACATACATACATGCAACAAAAAGACATGTTTACCAAAGTTCGTGATCGTATATTTATACGTATACACATATGGTAAATACGCTACCCTACCATTCCAAATTCTTCAGCATCCCAACTGCAGAGGAGAATCGATCTTCGAGGTCTCCAACCTGTTTTAAGCAACAGAGAATATCGACGGGAAATGTCGAGTAGAGCTGCTGTCCCGCTGTTTGGATCAATGGCTCCGTATGTCCAGGCGTCTCTATGGTTTCCAAGAAGCACAAACCTGTCTGGTTCTTCCCGCCCTCTTATTGTAGCAAACACATTATGAATCTTCACCATCTTCATCTCCCCCTAAATCAGACGGATGGCCAAAAAACCAGTCAACTATACAAGATTCAAGAACACGCCCATGGTGATGACACAGGTCAATCTCGAATTTTGACTTTGCAAATTGCAATATGGGTTCATGCCATAGTACCCTAAAAAAATCGAAATATTAAGCTGTGATCGACAATTTCAGGACAATTTTCCAAGGATTTTACCAAATTCAAACAAAAGACAACCAGAGAGGGACATGGAGATGAATTATTCGCACAAAAGTCAAAACGAAAACAGAATAAAGTTTATGTAATTTCGAATTCAAGTTCAACAGCGACACGACACCAACCTCGTATGTCATATTTACCGCCGTCGCTCCGGGTCCGATCCTTTGACGGGACCCGACCCTACCCGAGTTTCGCCACTCCTCCGGAGCCGCAGCGCCGCCGAGTGAGGCCAATATGGCCTCCGCCTTTCGCAGAGACAACGGCAGCGATGGAATCTTCGGGAATCTCTTCACGACCCGGTTGTCTTCCAACCCCAATCTCTCTCCTCCTCCGACGCCGGCGAAACCCGGACTCACCGGGTCGCCGATTCCTCTCATGACGGTGCCTCTTTCGACGCCGCCGAATCCTCCGCCGTCGTTCTCGGCGTACAGTAGCACAGCCACCGCGCCTTTCATCTCCGCGACCTTCACGATACTTCCCCTGCCCAGAGAACCACCTTTCCGAGCTAAAACCACACATCCAGTAACGTTCACTCCGATCTCCTCAAGTGCACGATAGTCCTTCTCATCGCCGTGATTCACGAAAACCACGTTACCCTGCGCCGATCCTGATGGCGAGTACGCGTGGTAAGGCCGTACAACGCCGGAATCGGACAAACCCGGCTCGTACAAGTCCATCTCCACCATCGTCCCATTGCTAAAACGCGCCGACAGCGAGGCACGCACAGGGTAAGAGAGGAGAGCCTCGTACTTGGCGACATGGGTTTCGAGACCCAGGCTCTGGAAGTGGGTTTGCACGTAACGGAGAGTGTCGGAGGAGGGTTTTGTCCCAGCGAGGTGGGGGTGAAGCGTCAAGGAGCGGAGGTAGGAGGCGACGGTCAAGTTGGAGGCGGAAGATAGGAACAGGCGACGGAGACGGAGAGCATTTTTGGGATTTCGGGTGGCGATAGGAGTGGTGCCGGGGTGATGGAGAGTGTAGAAGGCGGCGACAAAGAGGATGATGACAAAGAGAAAGGTGCAGAGCGGCGGCGGAGACGACAGAGACGGCGTCTGTCTCGGAGGGAGTAAGGAAATTCCGGCGGCGGCGGCGGCGGCAGGTCTGGTGGTGAGCGGCTGTGACATTCCTCGGGGAAGAGAGAGAGAGTGTGTGTAATATTGTTTTGGCGTTAGTGGTTGTCCACTGTGTCTCTGCAGTATCTTTCCTTATATTATTTTTCCCTTTTTATTATTCTTAAGACTCCATAATAATTGTCGTCGTTGCTTGACTGTCCAAAATTTTCTGATTCTTTTAAATCTGAATTTTTATATATGGGATTTAAATATTAATTTTTTAAAATAATTGACCACTTAAATCACCCATATAACGTAAAAAATGATAATAATATAATAATCTGAACTAAGAAAGTTGAGATTATTTATAAAGGTTAGTTTAGAGAATTAAGTTTACTAAGTCTAATATTTGAATTATAGAAAAAAAGTTAGAAAATAAGAAATAAATTTATAGTGTTAGACTTGTTAAATTAAATTATTAAATTTTTGAATAATAACTTTTTATACTTGAACTATCTGGACTCAGCCCAATTGATTACCAATCAATTCTAATATAAATGACAGTGTAATAAAAAAATTAATTTTACGTTAAAACAACATCTATTTGGACCATTAGTTAAAAACTAATGTAGTAATTAAAATACGTGAATAGAATATTAAAATGTATAGCAAAATTTAGTATGAAAACAAAATATTAACAATCCCGACATTTTCACATCTATATACAATTCAATATCTGATATTTTTTATCCCTACTGTCATTTATGTAATAGAGAATTCGAACTCATAAATTCTAAAACAATTTATATGATTTATATTTACCTTTTCGGGAATACTGAATCTGTCGTGAAAAATAATATCTTTTGAATTAATAATTTCCCAAACAAGTGAATTATCCATTCACAGCTAAAGTAATAAGCAATATTAAATAATTTCTATAATTATTTTACTTTTTTTTCCTCGTTTTCTTCACAAGAATTGCCAATTCTACAGAAAAAAAAACTTTCATGTACAATAATAATATAATTCACAATTGAATAAACAAAAAAAATGGATTCGAAAATAAGTTGATCATTTTTTTTAATCGGAAAATAAGATTATGGTAGAATCCTCGGATACTTATGGTTTTTTCTTACAGAGATTGAAGGATACAGCTGAAGACATCAATGTGTCGGCGATATCGATGCGCATGAAAAAAAAAACTTTTTTTTTTCTTTTAACTGTTTTTTTCACTTTCCTAAAAAACAAAACAATATTTTTACCTAATGAAAAAAATATAAACAAGAAACATATAAAACAAGTGTCGATCGGTAAATACTTGTTTTATAATATGATAATATCTACATGTATCTCTTGTTTTCACAAGAAAAAAAATTTATACATTTCGATCACAACACTTATATCACTCAATATAGATTTAATGTCTATTTTTTATGTTTCTGTATGTCAACTATTTTTTACATGCTTTAACACCAATTTTTAAATCCAGGGTATATAGTTAATTGGAATTATTGGCAAAATAAATTTGAATTGAAGTGGTTTTATATCTCAATTCGGTTGGATCATAGTTTTGTATTCAAATGTATCCAATATTTTCATTGAAAATAGAAAATTTTGTTTCATAATGAAAATAAACATTGAAATTCTGACGTTGATAGATCTCGGAATATATATATTTTTTAATATATCAACGAATCTAAATCCCACAAATACAAAATCGAATTAAATATGTTCAATCTAAAATATTCAAATTCAGATAATCAATCTCTCACCTCTATATATTCTGGTTCCGTACTAACAATATTACAATGGAATTTCTGTGTAATATCTTAAATATACACTTTAATCACGTATATAGTCAACATCTTTGTAACTTATAATACGTGAAAAAAATGGAAAATGTGTTTAAAACCCAAATATCTGATTATCGATGTATGTATAATCATGAAATATTTAAATATAATATAATGGAGATATTGTTAAAAGTGGAGATGAGAAAGAAGTTATCGTTTTCAAGAGGTAGGGAGAACAAATCAAAGTGGGTCCATTAACGTATCTTTTATAGTACTCCAAATTTATGTTGGATTTAGATTGTTGTCTTCGCCTTGTTGTTTTTTTGTCCACTTGCTTATTTGTCACCATTCGCATAATATATATATATATATATATATATATATATATATAAACCTTACCGTATTTCATCATTTCATCTATCAAAACTTTATTTTTTTTTATAATTCAAAAATTCATTACGCATTTTACTCTAAAATCGGTGAATTTTAAGATCGAAAAAATTTAGGTGAATATCCATTTCTAAATAAAAACTGATTTGTTTTGTTTTTTAAAGAAATGAAAGAGATTCAGAGTTTTTGAAACACGAAGAGAAGAACAAAGAATACTCAGATGTTTCTTATTCACGGTCATATAATTTTCTATATCTGTTTAAATCATATATACAAGTTATTACATGAATAAAGAAAACAGAGTAATGATAATTGGCATAATTACATACAGAATATATGCAATGAGATATTTTCTAGAGTAGATATGGAAAGTTGCTGTATACTGGAGTCTTCAGAGAGGATTTCATGTGCTTGATACTTGGAGTTAGAATCTGGTTCTCAACGTCTAGTGTCCATGATACGTGATATCCTTATGTGTAGTTCTCACGTGATGCTTGTTCTTCAATGGTCTCAGGTTTGCCAACATTCCCCCTCGAGATTGGTCGGCGAAAGTCGGTAAGACCAATCTTGGAGAGTGTTTTTTTGAGCGTGAATGAGCTGGTGGCCTTTGTGAGAATATCTGCGAGTTGATCTGTACTACGTGTGTACATCGTTGAAATTAGGCCTTGCGTGATCTTCTCTCGGATAAAATGACAATCCACCTCGATGTGTTTGGTTTGTTCATGAAAAACTGAGTTAGCCGCAATATGTAGCGCATCTTGATTATCACAATGAAGTGGGATTGGCTTCATCATCTTAATTCCAAGATCTTCCAACAATTGTTTCAGCCACACTAGTTCACTTGTAGTATTGGTCATCGCTCGGTACTCTGCCTCTGCGCTTGATCTTGAAACTACGTTTTGCTTCTTGCTCTTCCACGTGACGAGGTTTCCTCCAATGAATGTACAATAGCCAGTGGTAGACTTCCGATCCATTCGGTCTCCCGCCCAATCAGCATCACAGCAAGCAACAATGTTGATGTGTTTGTTGTATCTCATCCAAAGTCCTTTGTTCGGTGTTCCTTTTAGATATTTGAGTATCCGACCCACCATTTGCCAGTGTGTAGTGGTTGGAGCATGCATCCATTGACTGACCTGATGCACAGCAAAACTTAAGTCAAGGCGAGTTATAGTAAGATATATAAGCTTACCTATAACACGACGATATTGTTCTGCATTCTCGAGTAATTCTCCCTCGCGTTGATCTTTGAAATGTTCCTCAATCGGCGTACGAACAGGTTTTGCGCCAAGTTTTCCTGTATCACGTAAAAGATCAAGCACATACTTGCGTTGTGAAAGAAATAAATTATCAGAAAAGCGACTAACTTCAATCCCAAGGAAATATCGTAAAGAGCCTAGATCTTTAATATCAAATACTCTTTGCAAGTAAAGTTTAGTTTCAGCAATACGAAATGTGTCACTCCCTGTTATGATAATATCATCAACATAAATTAAGAGTACGATTATACCGCGTTCAGAGGTGGAAGTGAATAAAGAATGATCCGAATGACTTCGTGAAAAACCCTTTGTGGTTAGAGCGTTATGGAGTTTGGTGTACCACGCTCTTGGTGATTGCTTTAAGCCATAGATAGATTTTTTAAGGCGGTAAACATGGTTAGGTGTTGGAACATCGGGATAGCCTGGAGGTGGTTTCATGTAGATTTCCTCCGTAAGATCTCGTTGGAGAAATGCGTTTTTAACATCCATCTGCCAAAGAGACCAAGAAAGATTAGCTGCAAGAGAAAGAATTACTCGAACAATAGGTAGTTTAGCTACCGGAGCAAAAGTTTCGGTGTAGTCTTCCCCATATGTTTGAGTGAATTCTTGGGCAACTAGTCAGGCTTTGTAGCGTTCGATTGTGCCATCGCTTTGGTATTTGATTTTGTAGACCCACTTGCACCCAAAAGCTTTTCGATCGAATGGAAGTTCTGTAATATCCTAGGTGCCATTTTTTTCGAGTGCTTGTAATTCCTCTTGCATAGTTGTCTGCCAAACTAAAATATCCTTAGCTTGATTATAGGTTTGCGGCTCAAACCCCTGTTCAACAATACTCAGGAAACATTGATCAGCAGCAGAGAAATCAGTCAAATGAGAAAACTGGGAAATAGGGTATAAATGAGAAAGAATTAGTCTGTTTGGTCGAAGACGCTATCGAAATAGCAGAAGTAGTGGGTTGAAGACTTGGCTCGTGGCAGATGCCAAAGGTCACAAGTGCCTGTGTATCATCGGAGGACAATGGTGAATGAGTTGAATCAACGGCTGAAGCTATGCCTGGTCGATCTGAAGACGTTGTTTCGCCGGAAAAGAACGCGTCATCTGCAGGGGTTAGTGACAAAGAAAGAGACGAACTGCAAGGAATTTGAGTAACCTGTGTTGGTTTAGTGCTCTATGATGTACTGTTTATGAGCTTTGTTTAGATACATTCGATGTATTGATACTTTCTATGGTTTATATGAGAGTATTTGATTCATTACATGTTCTTGCATACTAGATCTGTTATGAAATCCATGTATCATTATGAATGATACTAAACTCCCTAGTCTTGTGTCATTATGAGAATGATGACATAATAAGACTAGTATGATGTGTGATTGATGATTATAGAGATGATCATAGGTATTGGATACGATCACTGTCATAGGTATTCGTTGGAGAACGGAATACGGGATTGACCCGCATGAGATTGTCACATGGACTACCGTCATGACTTGAATCTCATATGGAGGTTCCATGATTGGATCCTAAGACCTGAGATATCTACAGAATCCAACATGAGGAGTTGCGTGCCTTGAATACGTCAAACGCCCTGCGTAACAGGAGGACTATAAAGGCGTGTATCAGGTACGAAACGAATCATGTGCTGGACTGTAGATAGTCAAGACGGGATTTGTACCACTCGTAAAAGAGAGAGATATC